CTGTGTCTAAAAAGGCACCTCATTCTGAGGTGTCCCTGGGGAACTCCTCAATTGGGCCTGAAATTGGAACACAAGGCCCTGGACTGTGACCACTGCCCTAAAACAAGGGGATTAGTAGGTCAGGGCTCTGGCTGGAGAGAACCGCTCATCTACCCTCAGGGAGAATAAATATCCTATGGCTATCACCCGCTTAAGTTTCCTTTGTTTAGGTTCTTTTTCGATACTTACTTGAGCCTCTCCAAACTAAATAGGTTGGGGAGAAACCTGTTCCTTTTCATCTTAGATAAAGTGAAGGAAAGTTATGAGATTTCACTGTGGGAGAAAGTTGCATTTAAATTCCACTCAAAGTCCAAATCTTGCCTTAGGTAAGAACTAAAAAGGGTTAACTCTTTTTCCTCCCTCCCTGTCCCCCCTTCCTCCAGCCTGCTGAGACTTAGCTGCAGGGAACAGACACCACTCCCCTCATCTGCCCCCTATCACCGAGGAAGCAGCACCAGCTCTGGCCGTTTGGATAGCTGAAGATTCCTTTTCTCAGGAAGAGGACTGAAAGCTGTGCTCGCAAAGCTAGCAGCCCTCTATCATCTGACAGGAAATGAGTGGAACACAGGGTATGTGAAAGAATCAGCATCCATCTCTGGTGTCTTGAAATCACCTTTCCATTGTGATAAAAGGTATCCTGGCCCAAGGAGGTGCTGCTATTCCCAAGTCTGGCATATGCACCCACAAGCCCCTGCAGTAGCAAAGCAAGGCAGCTTGCACCAGCCCCTGCATTAACTGCAAACTGCTGCTCAGCTCTGGAAAAGGATTTTTAAAAAGGGAACAGAGGCAGAGGGATACAGGTTTCCAACACAAGAGTAATCTCCTGCCCTGGCTGGAGTAGCTCAGTGGATTGAGCACAGGCTGCAAACCAAAGCATTGCAGGTTCGATTCCCAGTCAGGGCACATGCCTGGGTTGCAGGCCATGGCCCCCAGCAACCGAATACTGATGTTTCTCTCTCTCTTTCTCCCTCCCTTCCCTCTCTAAAAATAAAAATAAATAAAATCTTAAAAAAATTTTTTTTAAAAAGAGTAATCTCCTTTTCTATATTACCTTGAAGCAAGGACTAATGGTTGGGGGCCAGCGCACGGGGTCCTTGAGAATGAGGTTGACCAGCTGAAAGATGCTCGTGGTGTAGAAGGGAGGGGTGCCCACAGCCAGCTCATACAGTATGCAGCCCACGGACCAGAGGTCTGCGGTGTGGTCATATGGTCGCTCTTCCACCAGCTCCGGGGACATGTAGAGGGGAGTGCCTTTGATGGATGTCAGCACCATTGTGTTGGTGCTCATAGCCCGGGCAAACCTGCAGGGGATGGGATGGGAACGCAGAGAGAAGACACTCAACAAAAACCAGACCTGGCCACGACCCCGTCTCATTTGTGTGAAGTATCTGAAACTTGACCAGAAAGAGCACCTTCCAAGGGACCCAGCAAGGAGTCCCGGTCTCTCACTCAGGCTCTAAAACAAGGCCCACATAAGCCGAGTGAAGGGTCTAAGACTCCCTGCAGAAACGGGAGCAGAGACAGAAGGTCGGGCTCCTCACCCAAAGTCACAGAGCTTGATGCCACCGCCCTTGGCAAGGAGGATGTTCTGAGGTTTCATGTCCCGGTGCAGGATGCGGTGGGAATGCAGGTAATACAGGGCCGACACCAACTGGGCGGCAATGGCCTGAACCTAGGGGTCAGTCAGGTGGGAGAAAGAAAGGAGGGGTCAGAGGAAGGAGCCTGCTGAGGAGCCCAAAGACTCCTCCCTAAAGCTACAGCCGATGTGATCTTCTCTTCCTTCCATTTCTTCCAGAGCTTCAGACACCTTATACAGTTCTTGCTTCCCTACTCATTCATTTTTTCAATTGTTCACTCATCTACTCAAAGGAAACGAGTTTCACTTAGCTGCATGACCATGGGCAGATTATCTTGTGCCTCTCAGATTCATCATCCGTAAGATGACAATAATGATACCACCTGCCTCTTAGGATTATTGTGAGAATTAAATGAATTAAAGCATGTAAAGTAATGTAATGCTCAGAATGGTGCGTGGCTTTTAGTAAGCATTCAATATACATTAGCTGTTATTAAGTAAGACAAAATCCCTTTCTCAAGTAGTCAAAGAAACAAGACAGACAAAAGGAGTAAGTGGCCCTGGCTGGTGTGGCTCAGTGGATTAAGTGCTGCAAACAGAAGGGTTGCTGGTTCAATTCCCCATCAGGCACACGCCTGGGCTGCAGGCCAGGTCCCCATTTGGGGGCATGCGAGAGGCAACCGATCAATGTATCTCTTGCACATGGATGTTTCTCTCCTTTTCTTTCTCCCTCCCCTCTCTCTAAAAATAAATAAAGTCTTTTTTTTAAAAAAAGGAATAGAGTGACTCATCAAAGATGATGAGTGCTCATAAAGGAACAGAATGCTGCAGCAGGGAGTCCTGAGGAGGGCCTACTTGCTGGAGTACAGAAAACCCCCAGGATAAGTGTGGCTGCAAAATGTACTCCACTGAATCCCACTGCTGACCACTGTCTAGGTGGCAAATCTTACCTTCACCACAACCTTACACCGTCCCGCCCTCTCTGGTACCAGCGCGCTGGCCCTTCTCCCCCACGGTGCCCACGGGCAACGACAACATTGACAATAGCTAACTACGGTGAATACTGTATTTCAGAAACTCTTCTAAGCATTTTATTATGTGAATTAAGTCATTAATCCTCACAGTAGCTTTACGAGACAGACGTGATTATTTCCATTTTAAAAAGAGGAAATGGAGCACAAAGAGGTTCCTGTAACTTGCCCAAGAGGATCCAGCTAGAGAGTGGCAGAGCCCAACTTCGTATTCAAAGATTTGGGCTCCACGATTGACACACTCCACTGTGTGTCACACCACACTGCCTCTATACACACCTAAACGCTTGTCTTTTTTTCAGGAAATTTTCAAAATGGAGACTCTCAGCGTCCTCAGCTTTCCCTACCAGTCCTTACCTTGAGGAAAGTTGGGGCTGGGGAGAAGTTTGAGCCAGAAAATATACCTGGTCTTCGGGAAGTTTTCCATCATCTTCCAGAATCTGAAAGAGCTCTCCCTCAGCATAATCTGTCACTACCACCACCTGAAAGGCAAAGGCAAAGGCACTGATGGCTCCAGATTTATGCACTGGAGTTGGAAAATTCCTATGATGCTTCTTCTTGGGCAGAGGTGACCCCAAGCCAAGATGCACCTCTTTATCAGTCTCGAAGCTGTCGAGCATGTGCACGATGTTGGGATGCCGCAGACCCCGCATGATTTCAATCTCTCGTTGCAGATTCCTCAGCTCCTTTTCTGAGCGTCCCAATTTGGGGATGAACTTCAGGGCCACCACCTGTCCGTGGTAAGGTGAAGAGTCAAGGCCTAAATACACTACTGAAACTTTAGCCTCAGAACTCCAGAAGTGAGATTTAGATTGAGCCATTCTTACTATGCCTGCGAGTCTTCTACTCCGCTCTCCCATGGTACCCTGGCCTTACCCAGGCTTCCCTCACCCCTTTGCCCTAAGAGGAAACAGCCTCTGCCAGACAGATCGCTGTGGTGGGTGCTGGGAGGGGTATTCTGATTTAGGTAAAGAACTCAAGATTTAAGGGATTTAGGGGAAATGGAAGGAAGGAAAAACGAAGAGAGAAAAATAGCATTCAGACAGTTTATTTCTTCCTGCATGAGATGATATTAATTAATAATGGTGACATTTATTTACTTGTTTACTAAGCACTGTGCAGAGTGATTCAGTGTGACATTACATTTAATCCTCCAATCTCATCAATCAGACACTATACTTATCTTCACTCTATAAATGAGAAAACTGAGACACAGAAAGATTGAGTAACGCGTCCATAACTCTAAGGCCAGAAAGTGGTTGAGCTAGGATTTGAACCCAAGTAATCCAAATGCAGAGCTCACACTCCACAAGAGGTATGAAGGAGTCAGTGCCTTAGGATCACAGGCTGGTATGAATGCTTCCCTTAAGGACCCGTTTTCCACTGGAGTTGGGGGTTCAGAATCCCACCCAAGAGATATCCCTTTTTGTTCAGCACCTGAGCGCTGTATTTTCTCCGACCCTTGTACACCCTCCCAAAAGAGCCTTCTCCAATCATCTCCAACACGTGGTACTTTTCCATGACAGAAGTTTCAGGATTCCTCAGAAGGAAGAAGGTCGTGAAGAGCTACAGCTCCAGGGGCAGTCCCACACATCAGGGACGTCTGCTTCGGGCATGGAAGAAAGGGTCATGTTAGCTGCCTTGCCTTTTTCTCTCGAAATTTTCACAACAATCCAAGCCTCAAAACCATGGTAGGGGGGAGTGGATGGGAAGATGACATCTTGGAGCAAACAGTGTGCCTCCCTGAAGTTGTTCCTCCTTTTCAGCCTCCTCCTGACCCCAACCCAACGTCCCGCCCACTCGACCCCTTGTCCCCCTTCCCGGCCACCCAGCCTTGCCCTCCGACCCCTCTCTCTCTACCCAGCCTCGCCCACCGACCCCGCCCCTTCCAGCTTCCCCCAAGTTCTTGCCACCGCCAACCTGCTCAGCATCCCTACCCACACCCCCTGCGCGCGTGCTTCACAGACCTGAGCCCCAGTCCTACCCCCAGCCTAGGAGCTTTCAAGCTCCTCAGGCCGAGGGACGCTGGCTCTGGACTTCAGCCCCGCCCCTTCAGGCTGCCTGCGTATCTTGCCTGACTTAAAATTCTTCTCCACCCCCACTGCGGGTTTCTTTAGACTCCTATTGTTACCAATTGTACTTACTACAATTGGTCCGAGGTCCAGAGGACAAAGGCATTGAGAGATGTGTGGGAGACGGCGGACCGTCCTTATGCACCTGTTAGGGCACTTCCGAACCGCCTATTGGCTATCAGGACCCACTAAAGACCAGGAGTCTGCGGTTGCCTAGAAACGACCGCTGGCCTCAGTGCCGCCGGCCCCTTAACTTTCCGCCTCCGATTAATCCGAGGGCATTTCCGGTTCCGGCTGTGGGCCGGGGAGGACATGGCGACGTCTTCGTCGGCAGCTGCAGGGGAGGAGGACTGGTAACTTGGGGCATGGGCTTTGGCTGACCGCCTGGATCCGGTCCGGGGACTAACAGCGGCCGCGGACGGTCCGTATGGCGGGCATGCGGGGACGGAGCGAGGGAAGAGGGATGGCAGAGACGCTGACATCTTTCTCTGAAAGCTTCAGGACTGGGGAGCGGGTGGGTGGAGGGGCGCTAATGTAAGCCAGGGGCTACCGGATTTGCACTGACCAAGCCGGGTCGAGCCGCGCCTTATCCGGTTCGATTCCCCTCTCCGATCTCGTCCCATCCCATTGTCCTACTGAAGTGGGTTTGCTCAGGGTCCCCAGGGATGTCTGCTCATTCGATCGCCCCCCTCCTTTTTAACCTCTCCAAGCCGTTGTCCTCCAGCTCCCGCCCCCCTTTCCCCATGGATCAGCCTAGCTCTACTGAGGCTTTCCTCAGCCTTCTCCCTCCCTGACAGCACTGGGGACTACTGTCTGAATAAGTCTTACACTTCACACAAAGCTCTTAATCCTCTCAAGCAACACTAACAAGAGACCAGAACCTGACAGGACCCTGGGATTTGGAAAAAAGGATAAGTGTGGGTTCACTCCACATTTTATTAGTTGTGTGATGCCGACCAGGCCACCCACGTTCCATGAGTCATTGCCCTCTGCTTTGAAAAAGTGGGTGTGGCATCTACCTCACAGAATAGTTGAGAGGGTCAGGATGGATTTGGAACATCCATCGGCCTCCTCATTAATAACTCTGGGATGTGGGCATCTAACAAGACTAGATAAAGCCTGACAGGTAAAATGGTTTGCCAAATGGTACCTAATTGTGACTAGGAGTCCAGAGTGTCTGATTCCAAATCTTGTATCCTTAGTACTAAGATATTCTACAATCTCTTCCCCCATCCTCCCCCCTTTTTTTTGTCACCACCTTACCACTGTCCCATCCCCTACCTCACCCATACCTCACCACTGTCCCATCCCATACCTTGATCAAGCATCAAGGCCCAGGGCACACCTAAGCTGGGTGAATTGTTGAAGGGCCTCTTGGCCCAGGAAGCCCCACCAGTGCTGGCCTTTACTGAGACCATCTAAATGCACGGTTCTCAACCTGTTCGGGGGAGCATTAGGGATCTGAGGGGACACTTTGACCCATGGAGAGGACAGCGGTGATTCCACAGTTAGCCCGTAGTGCTTGGCGACTTAAAAGTTTTGAGAACCACTAATACACAGGTCATGGCTATGGGCAGCGCTGATCTTGGTGAAGAGGGAACAATATACCTATAAAAAGGCAAACCAAGCGCACATCCTTCCATGTATTACCTGGGCGGGGCTGTGGATTTAAGCCAATCACTCGTCCTCAGTGTCGCTACAACTGCTGTTTCTGTGACTGAAAATGTGTGTCCTCTGATTTACATCAGGACCACTGGATCCTGACCTGGACAGGTTTACGTAGATCAGCTGTACAACAGGATAATAAATACATCGGATACTAACTACATTCTTTCTTCCTTTTAAGGGAAAAGGTTACATACGAATAGGAAAAAGAGGACATAGACTAGCTACTGTGGCCAAGATGCTCTTAGGTACCTTACATAAACAAATCCCTTTCATCTTCACAGCAACCTTAGGGAGGAGGTGGTGTTAGCTGTACATGTGAGACAGGGTAACTCAGGCTTACAGACATAAGTAACTACTTAGGCTACGTGGCTGCTAAGTAATTGGTACCAACTCTGAGGCTGATGGCTCACTGTACCACAGCTTCTGTACCACCTGGGTCTGTTCAGGTTGGTGTGTCCTTTGAGAAGCTTTAAGGTGACTGGTATTAGCAGTGTGTGTAGATCCTGGGATCCACATGAACAATAGTGCAGGGAAAGCCAAGAGTGGCGTTGGTAACCTTGATGTTAACCAATGAACATCACATTTCTGGGTCAGAGAGATGGCCGCTAAGGAATAATCAGTAGCGCAGTGAGACTTCAGCAGGGAGGCAGGAAACCAGGCTCCCTCTGAGTTCTGCCTCTGTTAAGCCTTGAGACCTGGGCCAGTCATTTCACCTTCCTGGGGTTGTTTCCTCCCCTGTTGGCGGAAATGACCCCTACAACTCTGTCTCTCTAGGGTCCTTCCCTCTGAAATTGAGGTGTTAGAATCTATCTATCTGGACGAACTACAGGTGGTTAAAGGAAATGGCAGGTATGTATTCAACCAGAGGTGGTCATGAGTCCCTTAGGAATGAGAGGATGCCATGCAGGATCTGTGAGCCTCGATTCCGGGATGTTTCTCTCATGTAGACAAAGACTATTCCTTTTATTCCACCACCCCCGTCCCCCGCCAAAAAAGCGAGCCCAATGCTTACTTCCTCTGTCCATTTTACTGTCTCACCCCTGCCCTCCCCAACCGCCCAGCCCCGGCCCAGTCACATCCCAGTCTCCACCTCATCCACCTGCAGATCTTCACCTTGGGAGATCCACATCACCCTGCACCCTGCCACTGCAGAAGACCAGGATTCACAGTATGTCTGCTTCACTCTGGTGCTTCGGGTCCCAGCACAGGTGAGGCCCCTGCCTTATGGCACCAGAGGGTGGGATGGGACCAGGGAGGAAGGGGACAGGTCCTGGGGTGGGGTGATTTTTAGTGGTAACCTGTGGTTTTGTCCTACTAGTATCCCAATGAGGTGCCACAGATCTCTATCCGTAACCCCCGAGGACTCTCAGATGAACAAATCCACAAGTAAGTGGACTGGTCAGAGCAGGGAGAACTCAAGATACAGCTCAGTGCAGGGAGGGAAGGGGGCAGGGCTAATGTTCGGTTTGTCTTCTCCCTCCAGGATCTCACAGGCACTGAGTCAGGTGGCCACGGCTGGGCTGGGCACTGCCATGCTCTATGAACTCATCGAGGTAAGAGGTATTCTAGCCCTGGGAGATGTCCTTCCCTTCAACTAGAACAATTTCTTTCGGGGGAAGCTGTGGGCCTAGAATCATGGATATATCTGTATTTACTTAGTCCTTGTTAGTCCATTCCTAACTCCCGAAAGATAACCTCCGCTCTCTTCTGTTTTGAAAAATGTCCCCAAAAGATAGACAGTTCTATAGCTTTGCGAGGTTACCTATTCCAGCAGCTTGTTAGAAAATTATTTTTCCTCTTAAACTTGCATTTTTCCTGCTTCAGTTTGAGTGCTTCCTTGTTCTCTTGACACTGGCACCTGAAAGTAACAAGAAACGGACCCCTCGAGGGTATTTGCCGTCAATGCACATTGGAAGGCCAGTGTGCCACTAGAGCTGACTGGGGAAAGTCGTGGTCCTGGACTGAATTTCTAGCCCAGGGAAGGAAATGACCTACGTGAAGCAACACCTAGAACTACAAGTTAATACCGACAGACCACTTGTGCAGTTTGAGGTTAAAAAACACACAATTAGGCACAGTCTGGTTTTCCTCTCCTTTGAGTTTTTTAGAGGAATGTTCAAGAAATAAAGGCGAGTAGCCTGCTGTCAGAGAGAGCGTGCATAGGCCACTGTCGCGCCCTTGAGTCAGGCCTCCACCATGTAATTTTGAACTTTGTGGAATTCCAGAGTGCTAGCTATTGAAATAACGGTGCAAGTGCACATCTGTTTGATAGCCCGACTTGATGCCGCTTGAATTCCCTGTTGCTTCGGCTTGTCCACGCCTTGACCTTCTTTCTCAAAGTCTACTCCAGAACAGACTCACTGGGGCAGTGACATTCAGAGGCAGTTAACCAAGAATGGCCTCCCAGAAGATATGTTTTAATTGAACACTTTTTCTTTCTAATGTATATTATCTTCATCCCCAAGAGCTAGTAAAGGTGACTACATGAGTGGAAAACAATTAAATTGGATCTTTGAAGCCAGGCAGATTTGGGGGTAGGAGTAGGGACTTAAGAGCAGGATTAACTCCAAGCAGAGGGAGCCTCACCAAGACAGACATGCGCGAACACGAGGTATAACCTGGCCTGGCGGGAAACAGTCCAGCCACTCCTGGGGATAGTAGACGGGTTCTGTTCACAGGTCTTGCTGCGGCCTCCCTGTTTGAACAGTGTCTTCTCTCCTCTCAGAAAGGGAAGGAAATTCTCACAGATAACAACATCCCTCATGGCCAGTGCGTCATCTGCCTCTATGGTTTCCAGGTGGGTGTCTCTGGGGCTTGGGGCCTGCTTGGGACGGGCAGTGGATGGCTGGTGAGAGAGCTCTGACGCAGTGCCCCACATCTGCGCTCCTTCCAGGAGAAGGAAGCCTTCACCAAAACGCCCTGTTACCACTACTTCCACTGCCACTGCCTGGCTCGGTACATCCAGCACATGGAGCACGAGCTGCAGGCTCAAGGACAGGAAGAGGAACGGCAGCATGCTGCAGCCAAACAGGTCAGCCCGCCAGCCCCTGCTCACAGTTGACACCGCCACCTCACCACCTGTCCGCTCCCTCCGCTCCAGGGGCTCTTAACCTTCCATGGTCATAGGTACCTTTGAGGTTAATGAACACTCACTTATCTAGAAAAAGCATCCTTGTGTACCTGTAATCACACCGAATGCCGTTTCAGAGGGCGCCAGACCTCTATCTAGACAACCCTTCTGTGTCCCACCTCACTGCTGGGCGGGCATGCCGGTGCCCCTCCATCCTGTGCCCCGGCAGATTGGGCTGGCTGGCTGGCTTGGGCAGCTGGTGATCACTCTGGGCCATGAAGCCGTGATGTGATTTTTCTCCTCTTTTTAGAAAGCAGTCGGTGTACAATGTCCAGTTTGCAGAGAGCCCCTCGTGTATGATCTTGCCTCACTGAAAGCAGCCCCTGAACCCCAACAGCCCATGGTAAGGGAACTCCTCTCTAACCTGAGCCAAGAATAATGGTATTCTCCAAGGAGGGAGGAATGGCATCTTGTTTGCCTTGAATGGGATCTGGAATTGGGTTCAACCTGGGACCTCTGCAAAGCCACAGTCCCCACGGGGAGCCCAAGGCTTCATTCAGGAGCCCAAACCTGAGGGATGAAGCCAGGAACCTTGTGCAGGTCTCCAGAGGCAGTCCTGGAAAATCAGGAACCCCAGTCTACCTTCAGTTGGTTCTTTCCTTCCTGCCAATCTGCTCCCTTCCCTCCAGGAGCTGTACCAGCCCAATGCAGAGAGCTTGCGCCAGCAAGAAGAGCTCAAGCGGCTCTACCAGAGGCAGCAGGAGAGAGGGGGCATCATTGACCTTGAGGCTGAGCGTAACCGGTACTTTATCAGCCTCCAGCAGGTGAGGAAAGGGTTTCCCGCTCCTTCCCTAATGACACCAACCTTCCTACCAGCACCCCTCTGCCATGGCCCAAGGGTGAGTTCGTTCTACCCAGGGAGGCAATAGGCTGATGGTGCTTGGTTCATTTAGTGGGCGAGAGGCCGTAGTTCCCTGCTTTGAGAAGCTGAATCTCCTTCACTGCATCTGCTCACTTTTTTCTAGCCTCCTGCCCCTTTGGAACCCGAGTCAGCTGTAGATGCCTCCAGAGGATCCCAACCACCCAGTGCCCTTGCCACAGAACTGTCCACTTCGTCAACTGCCCAACCACCCCAGTCAGCTCTGCCTGTGGCCTCCCAGTACACGTGCGAGAAGATTCCAGGGACTGGGCCAAATCAGCAAAGGTTGGGCGAGACCCAGAAAGCTGTCCTAGGTCACCCCCGCGCCAGTCGAGGCCCCTGGAGACAGCCTGAACGGAGGCACCTAAAGGGAGGGGAGTACAGTACCCCCAAAGGTACCAGTGACACTCAGGAAGTACCACCTCCTGAGAAGCCCCCCAAGGAGCCCATGGACCTAAAACCAGAAGAACCCCATCACCAAGGAGTTGAAGGTCCCCCACCCCGCCGGACTGGGGACTGTGCTCGCTGGGGGCGCCCCAAAAGTCGGACACCAGGTTCTTCCTACCCCCGCCTGCGCCGGGGTCGGGGAGCCTACCCTCCTGGTACTCGAAGGGAACCCTTGAGCCTGGAATCTGAGGATGGTTCCTAGCAGTACTGTGGGGGGAGAGGGGAATGGGGTAGGAGGGGGACAATAAAGAGATTTGGCCTTGTTTGGCTTTCTTTGCTCAGTAGCGCCAAGCCTGTGAAGTATAGGTGTCTTTCTAAATTCCTTGTAAGCCTGGAGTGTGACAAAGTAGCTCCAAGTTTGTCCTGAGATCTGTTATCTCATGAGATTAGGATCCAGGTAAAGTGGTCTGACATCTCCACTAGTGGAGTGGGTTTCGGGGGAAGCCAGTGGATGCCAGTATTTAAGGAGAATCTGCAGGAACCACCCTGCCCTGTAACCCACTCTGCATGTATTCCCACGTTATGTACACACACACACGTATATATACACTTCGGAATGCCTTTGGGTAGAAGACTGTGCTTTTGTGTTTACTATAGTTCTCTTTTCTCTCTGTCTTAGACTGTTCTGCTAACACCTGTATATGTGGATGCTTGAGGGCCCCTGTAGGCATCTGATTGCAGCTCAGGCTTTTTAATGAAGTACCAATAAGGGAAATCAGACCAGAGTAGGGTGACAGGTGTTTATTGATCCCCTCGAGGAGAGCTGAGCACTGACTAGCTGTCACCTCCTCAGGGACTCAGCATTATGAATTGCACCTGTAGGGTCGTTTTTATACATCATAAAGTGGCCCTGCACCTGGGCAGGACTGATCTGTGTTGTAGCTTGAAGGACACACTCTGCAAAGGTCTCCGCCAAAGAAGGTGCTTGCCCTGGATAGAACCTCTGGAACATCTGGACCAGCTGCCATTGTGAGCAGTAGCCCACATACTCCTTCAGGTCTACTCGCCCTGGGCGTATCAGGGCAGGGTCCAATCTAAGAAAAGGCAGCAAGGCAGTCATGGGCAGTACTACCCTTGGTACCCCCAAAATGATGGTCCCCTCTGAACTTGCCCATCCTCCCTAGGAGTCAAGTTGGAGGAGTTTGGCCTCGAAGTCTGAGTGCCTCACTCCTTCCTACCTGTCAACGTGGTTGGTAGTCATGAACACAATGCGGGCCTCAGTGGAAGCCACACCATCCAAGGCGTTGAGCAATCCACTGAAGGTGAGACGACCTAGACCTTGGTACTTGACTGGGTCTAGAGGAAGGCAGATAAAGTAGCACAAGTGGTCAGTTGTAGCCCTGCTTAAAGCTAGCTCCTTCCATTCCCCACCGTATTCCCCTACTTGTCTGTGTCTCCTCTGGGCTCTTGTTGCTAACCCAGAAATCCACTAGCCCTCTGGATTTCCACTTTCTTCCACTGTTCCTCATTTAGAAACCCCCTTTCCCTCAACTCCTCTCACCCTGCACAGACAGGTCTCGACTGAGAAAGGCAGCGTCCACATCCTCCAGGAGCACCAGGCTCTGCTGCGGGGCCACACTCAGCAGGTGGTTGAGCCGGTCATCTGAGAGGCTGGAGTCTGTGAGGCTCAGCAGGCAGATGCTGTGCTCCAGCTCCCCAGCCAGGGCTGTGCTATGAGGGATGGGAGCACAGGTGGTTGGCGATCTGGGCATTCGTCCTTAGACCCAACTGCTCACTCCTCACTATACTAGGTGTGTCTCAGGCCCAACCCTTCCACCACCCCACCCTAATGTTCTCCATGTCTTATGTTTATCCTGGTCCCTGTTCCCCACCTTTATTTCTCTTTCCAATCCCATCAACCCAGTTTTTCTCCAGTTTGAGGGTTAAGAAATGTTGACTCACATAAAACTGCTCTTTCCACAACCGGGGGGCCCATAAAGCAGGTAGCCACGTCTGTAGGGAATGCCTGGGAATACAGCAAGGATGATTGTCAAGTCCTAAGGTCAATCATGTACTCTGCCCCAGGTGTCCACATGCATTCCCAGCCCTGATCCCAGGAGGCCCAGAGACCTTGCTACTGGAAGAAATCATCCCCCTAGGCAACTGTTCTTTCCTCTTCATCGCTGGGAATTGGGCTGGAGCTGTATTGGAATTGGAGCCACCCCATCTGGCCACAGAAACTAGCCTGCTTCCTCCTGCTCTCACACCGCATCAAAAACAGCCTGACCAAGACCCCAGCTGCTCCTCACCTCTGTCAGCGTACCACGTGGGGTTATCAATGAATTCCCGGACGTCCCTGATAATTCGTTCAGCCAGACCCTGTTCCAGAACCACAGAATTCAGTGGCCGCCGCCGGCGTGGATACCCAAAGGGTCGCCATTCAGAGCCCATGGCTGTGTACATCAGGGTCTTTCCTTCCTCCTGCTGTAAGGCTAGCTCTCGAGCTAGAAGGGAGGAGATGAGACAAAATCAATATTCTTCTCTGCTGTGCATGTAAGGCAGAGCTTTGCCAAAACAGCTACCCCTCGCGCCCTGCACCCATGGGCTCAGATCTTCTGAGCTTCTTGTCCTCTGATGTCAAATGCCCCTATCCCTGCAACTCCCCATAGAGCCTGCCTGTGTCATCGTCCCACACCTTCCTCCAGGATGTTGAAGAAGACCTTGCGGTCGGTGCCCAGAGCTGTGAAGGTAACAGATTCCCAAGGAGTACCCGTCTGCAGGTCTATCATCTGCATTTCTCGGCTTCGTTCCACTCGGATCCATTTCCCCTGATACCTGAGTAAGAATGGTCAAAGTGGGGTGAATGGATGGGTCAAACCCAGCTCCCCTCATTCTCCTCTTCTACTCTCAGAGCCCTCCCTGGCCCCCACCTTACCAGATAAAGTGGTTTCCAGGACTGGGAATAAATTCAAACTTAGTGGAGATGCGACCACTCTCATGCTGAAGGTACGAGGTCTCAACACTGAGGTGCTGAGTCCGGGTACTGTAGCGGGTGAGCCAGCTAAGCAACCAGGCATAGCTCCTGTCTCGAGCAGGGACTTCCAGCGTGATCATGTAATGGCGCCGGAATGCCACCAGGCCCAGCTGGGCACCCTTCCGGGCCAGGGCCAGGGCTGTGCCCACACCTACCAGGCCAAATCCAGCCCCAAAGTAGGGATTGTCCTTCAGGGCCAGGACAAAGTCTGAGAGGGGCATCTTGAAAGGAAAACAAAGAACCTTACAAGTCCTGAGGCATTTTCAAAACCTGGGGGTGGGGAGCAGTGGAAACAGGAAACAAACGAGATTAGTTTATAAACTGGACTCCTCAGTCCCTCCTCTCCCCACCCCTTCCCTCTTGCAGAAGCTGGAAACAGGAAAGGTCAGCTACTGCGTGCTTCAATACCCTCCCTTTGTGGGGTGGCCATGGTGTCGGAATTCGGGGCCTGGGACTCCAGACCTCTTGTCCCATTTTGCCCTCCATTATCCTGTTCACATTTCAGTTTCCTGCCAGAGGACTATGTTCTCTTGATCCTGAGAACAATGTAACCGGCTTCACAACAGGAGAACAGATGGGCAGAATCTCTGTGGTACCTGAGACCAGCTGAAATAGAAAGGGGCACACTGGCCAGATAGCAGAGGATGAAGCCATTCTCTTCCATTGATCTCTGGTAACCACCATGCCTTGTTACCATGAGTAATGACCTTCACATATCCTCTCCTTTACATGCTCAGTTCCTGATGTCCTGTTTAACCCTTTAATACCTCCCATCTGTCTAAAATTAATTTTATTCTTGAAATGGCATCGTAATGGGGGTCTCCACCTCCGGCTTCACCAAACTGCTATTATACAAGGGTCTAGGTCATTCTTCATAAAGATCGGCTTCAATCCTATCTCTCTACTCCAAACCTCTCAACAGACCCCTGAGACCTCAGCAGACCTTTGCCTGGTGCTCAAAGCCCTCCACCTCTGTTTCATGGCTTAGCTCCTAAAACTCCCTGTTGAATGAATGTGCAAACCATCTCCTGGCTCAAGCAGTTCTCTCCACTCGGAAGTGGAGAGAACATTCTAATTTATTCTCTCCAATTGAAGTCCTGCCCATTTGCTACTTCCATGGAGATTTTTCATAATTCTTTCACACACGCAAAAAAAGTGACCGGGTCTAATTCTAGACTGTAAGATCCCGAGGGGTAGAAAGCCAGTTGATTTCTCGTACACCTCCCCCGTCCACTGCCACTTTGCTCGGAGTCTGGCACGCAGGGCGCTAAATTGACAGCAGTGACCTCCACTGAGGCTCAGAGCTGGATACAGAATTCCAAAATACCTACGCGTGGAGGGCCACAGATAAAGCCCTTCCCGCTCCGGACCCTTGTTGGGCGCCCGGGAGCCCCCTCGCGAACCGCCCCACCCCCACTCCTGCTCGCGCCTCTGCCAGCAAGGTTTGGAACAACCCGTCTCTCCATCATCTTACCGCCAAGACTCTCTGGCCCTCCCTCTCAATGGTTTACCCCTCGGCACTCGAGGGAAGGGCCGCTTGGCTCCACCCCCGAACTTTTTCATCTACTTCCCGCCACGCCCACTGAGAAGGCCGTGCCACTCTGCTCCACGACTCTCGGTGGTACTCCTCGGGCTTCCTGTCTGGGGTGGATGGGGGAGGGCGGGGGACGCACGGGAAAACCATAGAGTACTCCTCCCGCCGCCAAGAGGAAGAGAGAGTGGCCTCTGTAGGTCCGTAGCTTTAGGGACCGCTGGGCCGGAGGCGGTCGCACAAAGGGTATCCGGGGAGGTAGCTCCAGCTTCTGGTCGACCAAAGAGATGCGGCTCCCGCCGGCCCGGGGCCGGGAGGTGAGTGAGCGGCTGCGGGGCGGGAACTAGTAGGGAGTGCGGGAGGAGCGGCTGGAGGCAAAAGTTTCTCGTGCCCTAGAATGAAGGTGGGCCTGGGAGGTGGGAACCCCGTACGAACGGGACACCGGCGCTTCACATAGCAGCCTGGGTGCCTCAGTCACGTCACTGTTCTGGCCCCCGCCCGCTTACTCGCTGTCTCTTCTCAAGACCATAATCTGGACGATTCTCCATCCCAAGCCTTGCAGGTTACAAATTGACTTTCCCATTCTCTGGCTCTTGTGATTCCCGCTTCCCGCCCAACGATGTGGACACTGTCATCGCTTCCACTTCACAGATAAGAAAGCTGAGATCCGGAAAAGCGAGGTTACTGCCCAGATTTACGCGGTGAGTCAGAGCCCTCAGGGTTAGAGCCCTCAGGCAGGTGGAGACCGGGTGCCTTAGTACCCAAGCCAGGTTTCATTC